TGCAGATAAAATACTCAAATAAGAACTATGGGTGCAATTAAAAAAAAAGTACAATTCAATCAATTTAAAAAACGGGGTAAAAAGAAAGGTTTTAAGACCTTTTTTTAAACAACAGGTTCAAAATGCTCCAGCCCCCGATTTTTTTTTTTTTTTTTTACTGCAGGCGAAAGAGCACATTTCTCCAGTTCTGGCCTCCCTTCACTGGCTCCTGGTTCATTTTTGAATTCATTTTATAATCCTTCTGTATGTTTTTAAATCTCTGAACAGTTCTGCACCCTCTTATCTCACTGATCCGCTGCAGCCATATGTCCCACAGTGCTCTCTGAGGTCAGCAGACCAGATGCTTCTATTGGTACCAGGCACTCGTTTTAAGCTCAGAGGTGACAGAGCTTTCTATGTTGCAGGTCCAAGATTGTGGAATGAGTTACCACTGCATGTAAGGCAGGCTCCCTCTCACTGTTTTTAAATCTCGTTTGAAAACTCACTTTAATCTTCCCTGGCTTTTGACAATGTGTGTGTTGATTTTAACTTGTCTGTATTCTACAATGTTAGCCATTTAGTCCTTATCTTTACCTATTTGGATCTATGTATTTTATCCTGTGTCCTTTGCAGTGGTGGAGAAAGTACTCAAACACTGTACTTAAGTAAAAGTACAAATAAACAGACAAAAATATACTCTAGTAAAAGTAGAAGTACCACATTAACATTTTTACTTAAGTAAAAGTAAATAAATACTTGCTTTTAAAATACTTAAAGTATTAAAAGTAAAAGTACTTCCTGGATGTATTACATAATGCAGTGGTCTACATATCTTTAAGTCTGCCTACCATATGTATATTTTCTGTAATACATTAATAGTGTTGTGTCATTTTAATGAACAATGCTGCAGATAATACATATTTATAGTGTGTTTACTCTGTGACACCGTTCACACTTGGACTTGTGATTCTGTGCGTCAGAATTTCAGGGATGGCATGCAGAGTTAAATGCCATTAATCAAAATAAGAAAGAGGAATGATTATACCTTTGAAAGTTTTTATTTAACACAAAACCAATGTGTCATTTTAACTGCAGTAAACACATTTAAGTAAAAGTTGTCTGCCTGAACAAAAGGAACATTAGACACAACTAACAAAGGAATAGGCTCTGATCATTTCCGCTGATATTTCAACTCCAGTTTGTCATCAACTCTAGTTAAAATACTGTCTATTCAACATTGCAATGGGTCGATATTGAACAATATTTTAACTTCCTGACACCATTTTTAAAACTTGGACCCGAGTGTCGAGACATTTGAAGACATGTCTCCTAATGTCCCATGAACTGACACATTTTAATATTGCAGCAAGAATTTCTTGTTCAAGTTCAGAAGAAGTTGGTTTTCAAAGATTTTTGAGTCCAATCTGGCTCTTTTGGGAGAGAGAATCTGTCCTGCTGTACTGAATAGTCTTTCAATAAGGACATGGGTGAAGCATATCTTCTGGCTGACTCTCTTGCGGTGGAATACATTTTGGGTGTGTTAGTGGTGCTGCAGGTGCACCCAGCTCAGTGACATATTTACTAGAATATATGTCATTAGCCCAGCTCTTCTTGATGGCGGGCTTAACGTTACCTGACCACTTTGCAGTGATTCAATGGACCAGCTCCCCTCTCGCCATTGGTTACTTTCAAAGTAACAAACAAATCAAAAAGCCGCAACATGAATGTAACTTGTAATGCAACTCATCATAGAAATGTAGTGTAGTAGAAAGTACAGATACTTAATGTAAAATGTAGTGGAGTAAAAGTATAAAGTACCCACATTTAACTCTACTTAAGTAAAGTACAGATACATGAAAAATGTACTCAAGTACAGTAACAAAGTTTTTGTACTTGGTTACATCCCACCACTGGTCCTTTGCTGGTTTTGTTTTTTCTGTACTGCACTTTGGCTGGGTGCTTTATAAATAAAGTAGCATGGTCTGGTACAGCTGTGTTCTTTGTGTTGGACCTTTCACTAATGATTTGACAGTGGTGTCAGTTATCAGAACAATACACATCCTCTTCACAGATGAGTTGTCAGAATCATTTCCTCTGGAATATATAAATGTTGTGAACAAGTGAAGCACAATGCAAATGTAAAGACTTGTGAAAATAAATGGATTTTAAAGATGTGCTTAATAGTTGCTCATGAGCTGCTGCTGCTGCTGGTGATTTTTCATGTTCTGAGTTTGTTTTTATGGGATTGAAAGCTTTTATCTTCATAATCCAGTTTCAGTGGGTGATTGGACCAATGTGGGGTTTGGTAAGTATGTGCTTCCTCTTGCAGAATGATGCATTGAAGAAGGTGGGGCTTCATGAGGTTCCTCTTGGTTTCTTGGTTATCCAACTTCTTGACATTTCAGTTTGAAGTGTTGTCACCTCAAGTGTTTTGGTTTGGATCTGTGACTTTCTTCAGGGCCAGCATTAGTGACTGGTGTTAAGAATGAAGGAGATGCTGTGCCTGTCTTGTCTGTGGGCTGTGGTCATCATTCAGACCGGTCTTGGTAAGTCTGGTTCTGTTCTGGTGGGTGCTGATCTTTGTCTTCTCAGTGTGAGTTGTATACTTGAATGCAGCCAAGCGAGGTATGCCTTTAGGGAAGGAAAAAACTGCTGGTTTTGGGTCAAAGTTTGTATTAAAAAATGAAAATTTTATATATGTGTGTGTGTGTGTGTGTGTATGTATGTATGTATGTATGTATATATATATATTTATGTATGTATGTATATATATATATATATATATATATGTGTGTGTGTGTGTGTGTATTTATGTATTTATTTATTTATATATATATATATGAATGTTATACATAAATATATTGAAAATGCTTTTCTCCTATGTGAAAATGACTAGTGGTCCAGGAAGCAAACTCGGTTACTGATTTTCGCTCAGCATAACCTAAAATATTTTGGCCATTATCTTAGTATTATGTTTAGCTTTATTAAGCTTTTTTTCTTTAAAGAGTATCAAATCAGTCTTTTCAAACTTACACATTTAGTTAAATTTTGTTTAGACCTTTTCATTCACTAAGTAGAAAAATCATAGATAAAATATGATTTTTCATACGGACTCGTGTAATTACTTGTCTATAATGTGTGTGTGTGTGTGCGTGTGTGTGTGTGTGTATGTATATATATATATATATATATATATATATATATATATATATATATATATATATATATATATATATATACAGGTCCTTCTCAAAAAATTAGCATATTGTGATAAAGGTCATTATTTTCCATAATGTAATGATCAAAATGAAACTTTCATATATTTCAGATTCATTGCACACCAACTGAAATATTTCAGGTTTTTAATTGTTTTAATACTGATGATTATGGCATACAGCTCATGAAAACCCCAAATGCCTGTCTCAAAAAATTAGCATATCATGAAAAGGTTCTCTAAACAAGCTATTAACCTAACCATCTGAATCAACGACGTAACTCTAAACACCTGCAAAAGATTCCTGAGGCTTTTAAAAACTCCCAGCCTTGTTCATTACTCAAAACCGCAATCATGGGTAAGACTGCCGACCTGACTGCTGTCCAGAAGGCCATCATTGACACCCTCAAGCAAGAGGGTAAGACACAGAAAGAAATTGCTGAACGAATAGGCTGTTCCCAGAGTGCTGTATCAAGGCACCTCAGTGGGAAGTCTGTGGGAAGGGAAAAGTGTGGCAGAAAACGCTGCACAACGAGAAGAGGTGACCGGACCCTGAGGAGGATTGTGGAGAAGGGCCGATTCCAGACCTTGGGGGACCTGCGGAAGCAGTGGACTGAGTCTGGAGTAGAAACATCCAGAGCCACCGTGCACAGGCGTGTGCAGGAAATGGGCTACAGGTGCCGCATTCCCCAGGTCAAGCCACTTTTGAACAAGAGACTGCGTCAGAAGCATCTCACCTGGGACTGCTGCTGAGTGGACCAAAGTTATGTTCTCTGATTACAGTAAATTTTGCATTTGCTTTGGAAATCAAGGTCCCAGAGTCTGGAGGAAGAGAGGAGACACAGAATTCACATTGCTTGAGGTCCAGTGTCAAGTTTCCACAGTCACGGGGGTGTCATGTCATCTGCTGGTGTTGGTCCACTGTGTTTTATCAAGGGCAGGGTCAATGCAGCTAGCTATCAGGAGATTTTGGAGCACTTCATGCTTCCATCTGCTGAAAAGCTTTATGGGGATGAAGATTTCATTTTTCAGCACGACCTGGCACCTGCTCATAGTGCCAAAACCACTGGTAAATGGTTTACTGACCATGGTATTACTGTGCTCAATTGGCCTGCCAACTCTCCTGACCTGAACCCCATAGAGAACCTGTGGG